TCCGGTGATACCTATCTCTGGCGCGCGTTGCAACACCACGTAACTACGTTCGGGGGGCAATGAAGGGCACCACGCCTCTCAATGCCAACCAACAACTCCCAAATCCGGTTGTGAATAGCCGAGACGTAACCCTAACCCTAACCCTAACCCTAACCCTAACCCTAACCCTAACCCTAACCCTAACCCTAACCCTAACCGGTGCTAGCCCTAGCCCTAGCCCCACGACAGAGCCCGGGTTAGAGGTTCGGCCACGCCCACTCACACAGAGCCCCCCGTAGAGCCACCCCCCCACGGCTCGCTCGGCCCCAGTATGCCCCTGCCCTGCCGGGCGTGCCTCGCTAACGGTCCGGCTCGGGTACTTCTTTTTCTCTTCTGCTTCTCTTGTCCGTCCCGAAGAGCTTGCTTATGTAAGCAAATCCGACCCGCTCCCTGTAACCCTAACTCATCATGACCCTTATGCCTCCCTAGTCTCGGCCCTAACCCCAACCCTTACAAATAACCCTTTTTCTTCCTTCTTCTCTTCCTGTACCTTCGTCTCTGCCTTCCATCCTCATATGCCATCTCCTCTCGTAGACGTGAGTACTAGCTAACCCTGGCCCTCTATCCGTTCCTGTGTAAGAACAACCCTATTCTTGTGTCTTTGTGACCGGCTCTAGCGGCATCTTGTTCGATATACCCCGTTAGAACGATCTGTTTTTCTTCGGCCCCCTTTTCCAACATGTTTCTTTCCTCTATTATCCTTTTTATAGAAGCCTATATGTTCCCTCTCAACTCTGGCTCATCCCCCTTTCGTTTCCTTTCTGCTCTCTGCCTTTCCCAGCTCCCCCGGCCCTTCTCTATCTTCTTTAATATCAAGTAGATGAACGCGCCTTGAATCTACGCCCGTACTGTCCCGATGCCCCGTCTCTTTCGCATTGCGCACCCTTTCACTCCCCTTCCCCTCTAGCGAAGCGAACAGTCACGGATCGAGTATCTTTCATCGTTTTTCTTATCGCTGTCTGATTGTAGCCCTTTCTCAAACGTCTCAAAGCTCCCTTCCTAAACCTGTCTTTTTTTTTTTTTTTTTTCCTTTTTTCCCTTGCGTTCTATTCTGAATAGTCATCTCTTCTTCTTATAGACGTAAAGAGTAATGTACCCTAACCCTCTATCCGTTTATTATCAATAACCCTATTTCTGTATTAACATAGACCGCTCCACTAGTCTCCGACCTACTCCACCCCGTTAGAACGACATATTGTCTTTACCCTTTTTCTCAGTATCCTTCTTATCCATTGGATATAAACTCCCTTCCTGCTTTTTTCCAACGCCTTTTTCACTTTATTCTTGATCTTCTTTTCCTTTCACCTTCGCCCGCTGCCCGGCCCGTTCTCGGCATGCGCCACTCCATAGCACATCAACACGCCATAAAGAAAAGCCCCTACTGTTCTAATACGCTATTCCTTTTAGATTCTGGACTCTCTTAACTTTCCCTCGTACGACATGTATCAGTACCGATCAAGCAACAACAGCCGTCTTCAAGTATCCCTTCATCGTAATCGCATAGTCTTCAATGGCATTTCACCCCTCTTTTCTCTCTTTTCTCCTCGGTAGCTTCTTGTTATATGTAATACAATGTCCTATTTCGATTGGATTTTCAACCCCCCTGTTTCCTTATAAATCCTACCTCTACTGATCGCTCGGCTAGTGTCCGGTGCTTGTATGTGATGTTTTCTTTTCCTTCAAGTGATGGGTAACTACCCGTGTTATTTAATTATACTATGTAAGCATTTGTTGTTTATATTGTTCTTGTTCTTCCTTATAACGTAATGTTGTAGTATGTTGTACGCATTCCCTCCTGTAAAGCGTTGCGATATAGAACAAAGTTGTTTTAAAATAAGATATTAATCCTTCTCTTTTTTCTTCTTACCGATTCCCTGTCTAAGATAAATATGCAATTAGAACGAAGTACCTTAATATTGTATACTATGGGTACGGAACAACGCGGCTTATAATACTTCTAGTAATAGTACACTACTTAGTACGGGCGTACTTCTTTCGTTATAGCCTTGAGTACATTTTATTTATGTGACTCTTATTTATTATTCAAATTATACCTACTTATAATCCAATTACTGTTATATAAACCGTTTATAGTATGAGTTCGTACGCGGATACTCCTGAGTGTTGTTTTATCTTTCTTAAATTCGTCTTTCCTCCTTGGTCTAGTTTCTTACATCACTTGTCCTTTCTTTTGATACATCCATCCTAACAAAATTATAATAGTCGTTCTTCTCTTCATTTCCCTCTTTGTCTAATATACTTATTGACGCAATAATTCATATTGCTATTTAGTTACAATCAAAACACTTCCGTTTGTTATAAGAATAGTTAAACGTAGAGTAATACGTTTTCTGGTATTAAATTGTATTCTCTTCTAAACTGGATTGTGTTCCGCCCTTATTGTCAATCTAAATGATGAAATGAAGTATTATCTTTTGCCCGAATCCCAAACTTGCCCGTTATGAAAGTAATACTACATAACTACGTCTTTCTTTCTTTTCCTTTTGTACGCTATCCTTATTAAGCCCTACTACTCAACCGGCCTTCATTACTCTAGTATAAGTCGTTTATGATATAATATCCGATTAATACCAAGTGTTGTCTCGTCTTTCTCAGTTTCTCCTTTTTTTTTTTTCCCTCTTCAGCTTAGTTTTTTTGTACGGTTTTCGTTTCTAACCCTATATATATCCCTCTGTATTGAACCTATACTTTTATCCCCTAACTTCCCTTGTAATGGAAATACTTCTTGACGTAATGGTCATAGAATAATGTTTGGTTATAATATAACCCGTTTAACCTGGTATAAGAATAAACGTAGAGGAATTGCTTTTTTTAGTTGTTAGCTTATGCTTTATTATAGCCTAGATTATGTTCGTTATTATTCCTGTCCCTGTTCCTACGTTCTATGATAAAGTTAAGTATTATCTTTTGCCCAAATCCTAATCCTACTCGGTATGACAATAATACTCTAACCATCTTTTTATTTTCTTTTCTTCATTTTTCACGCTATTCCTATCCGAGCTATCGTATATCTACGTTATATCCCCTTACATCTACCATAATAGTCTTCATAATACTAATCCCGGTCAACTTAACTTATCAATAAAGTTAAAAGTCCTTTTCATATTAAATACAGTAGTAAAAGTAGTACGAGCGTATGGCTTTAGTTATTTCTTAGTATAACGTATATAGTAAGCGAGTAAAACAGACAAGCGAGCGAAACACGCCCTTATTACACTTGAGAAGTCGGGCTTTTGATCATTTATTAAAAATTCATTTTTTGTTGAAAATATAAACTGTTTATTGAATTTCTTCAATTAGTAGTAGTTAACAGTTTAACTGGTTATCGAACAGAGAAATTTAAAAATATAATTTAAGTCTTAAACCGTTTCGTAAAACAGCGGGGCTTGGATAAGATAGAAATAAGTGATCACGCCAAGTATAATAAAAATAAAATCCATAATACTTTTTTCATCTAACTAGCTATTTCTTATTAGTTCTTTTTATAAACTTTCTTATATTTGCATCTTATATTCGGATAATAATAAATAATATAAAACCCGACTTATAAAGTGCGGGAAGAACGTGTTTCACTCGCCTATTATATCCGTTAACTAGTTATACTATTTTCGTTTATGAATACAAAGTCTCGGCTTATGGTAGCGTCTTAGACGTTACTTCTTTTGTTTTTGTTCCATACGAATCGATGAACGTTTAGTATATGAATAAGTTAATACTTTGGTTATATATAATATAGTTTCATGATAGTGTGGATGTGCTGTGGAAGAATAGATATCCGGGACCGTTGTGTTGATGGCTAGTATATCTAGATAATACTTAGTGGTCATTTGTAAAACGTACCCTTAGTCTCTTTAATATGTCCTTTTTTTCTTCCGAACTATGCTAAATAGACAGTATTGTTGAACTGAGATGTGCTTCCGTTGTACAACCTTTTTTATATCCTCTGATTGAGAAAAAGTGCGTTATATAGTCTATATCTATATGGAATTCTCCTTAGACCCTGCCTGATGTATAGACCCTTGTGGACTCGCTCGTCGTATCTTGGATTCCTTTGAAAAGCGATGAGCTGTAGCAAGCACGCCCGGGCCCGGGTTGAAGACAGATACCTAAAAATTAGTATAGATATCGCTCTAGCATCTAGTATAAGATCTCTCCCAAGTCCTCCTCCCACAACAGATACGTTACTCTACACAACCGGCTACACTGCATGCCGTCCCACCGGACGAGCCCACCCAGCCAGGTGTGCCACTCGTCCTTCTCGGACGGCGCCAGTGACTGTCCTTCCTGCTTCATCATCACCCTCTTCACCGTCTCCACGCCGCCGGCGCCCGCCCGGACCATGCCCCAGCCGTACATCTCGAGCAGCCGCCCGCCGTATGGGCACCGCCCGCCCGCCGTCTTCTCGTACCGCTCCCCCTCCTCCTCCACCCTCCTCCATAACCCGCACATCTCCTGCGGCAGCCCGCACGTGAAGCACGCCGAAAAGTTCTCCAGCCGCCGCTTCCCGAACAGCTCCCGCTCCGCCAGCGCGATGCCCTTCTCCACCTCCGTCCAGTCCTCCGCCCGCCCGCGTGCCCCGCAGTCCGCCGTCCGGTGGTTGCGGTCCCGCTGCCGGCACCAGCAGTACACGCACCATTGGCCCCACGTCTCCAGCAGTCTCCGGAACCGTTCTCCCTGCTCCGCCTCGCGCATCCGCTCCCGCTCTAGCGACCGCCGCGCCGCCGCCGACCGCCGCTCGCCGTCCTCGAACGCCCGCACGCACGCCTCCGGCACCGCCTCTTCCGCCGCCCCCTGCTCCAGCACCCCGTCCACGTCCTCCGCGAACGCCCGCTGCTGGCATCGGTCGCATCGCGCCTCGCCCGCCTCGCACCCGAACCGGTCCGTCCGCCCGTCCATCACCCGGTCCAGCACCGCCCGCCGGCACTCCCGGGTCCGCGTGAACTCCTGCGGGGCCTCCGTGTGCCGCTGCCTGCCTCCGCCCGGGGCCGCCCCTCGGCAGATCACGACGGACCGGCTCGGCGCCCCGTCCCGTCCCGCACGCCCGCTTTCCTGCACGAACCGCGGGAGCTGCCGCGGCATGTCGGCGTGGATCACCAGACGCACGTCCGGTATGTCGATGCCGAGCCCCAGCGCGTTCGTCGCCACCACGAGCCCGCCCGCGGCCCCGCTTCCCCGTCGCCATGCCGCGAGCCGCTCCGCCTTGCCTTGGACCGTGTCGATGTCGCTGTAGAATGCCGGGCACCCCAGCGCGGCGCTCAAGCGCTCCACCCTCTCGATCGACGTGGCGTAGATGATCGCCTTGCCCGGCTGGCCGTCGGCGAGCCACGCCTCCGCGACCCGACGGCACGCCTCCTCTATGACGTCCCCCTCCTCGCCTCTGTCCTCCCCGCCTCGCCCTGCTCTGCGACGCCGGCGAGACGGGCGTGGGCCGTCGTGGCCCGGCCCGCCGACCGTCACCACGCTGTACTCGATGTTGGGCCTCGTCGTCTTCGAGAGTGGTGAGCTGGGTTCTATAGTTTGATTATAAAAACATACAAACCTTTTAAACGTAAACCAATCTTCCCTACTAGATCCGCCCCCCCCCCCCCCCCCCCCCATCTTCATCCCAAATAGCCCCTTTTTTTTCTTCAGTTTTTATAATAGAGACCTTTCCTACTATGCTAACTTCTTTATTGTAAATGGCAGATATTATTGAAAATAATTTAACGTTATACAGTCATATAATAAGTATTACCCTTTGCGAACATTCTTTTTTTATTGTAAAGTGAAACATGGTGAAAAATACTTGAGTTTATAGAAAATCAAAATCTTCTAAACGTAAACGAATCTTCCCTACTTGGTATGAAATCAGTCACGCTGGGCTGTCCGGCACCTGCTGCGCCGGCTCGCTGCTGTCAACGGCCACTCCCGCATCCCGCCCGACCTCGAACCACCGGCACCCCGCGCGCGTTAGGAAGAGTCGCTGGCACGGCACCCCCGTTGTCCATGGCAAGATCCTGGCTGCCTTGGCCCTCTCCCGGACATTACCACCCTTCTGCCAATCATTCACCCATCCATGCTCGGTCCGGCAATGGCTTTGGATGGTCTGTAGCTGCCGGCACACGTACTGGCACTCCGCGCACCGTATGCCGTCCGTCTTCGGCACTGCGAGATGTGCGATTGGCGGCGTGTTGGGCCCCGGGTATCGGAATGATTGCAAATCGGTCTGGCTGCGCACGATGCCATGTAGTGATTGAATGCGGTCTGTGATCCGCTTCCTCTCGACTACGCGGATACCCCGGTGTTGGGTTTTGAGATGCGTCATGACCTCGTCGCTAACGACTGCGTACCGACACGTTTTGCAGAGAGCGACCGAGAACTCGGCATTGAACACGAATGGATCTATAGTGTCTTGTTGCTGGTGTTCCGCGCTGCTGGTATCCTTATTCCCACCTTCAGTCCCTGGCCCTGACTGGGGACTGGCTGGGCCTCTGCTGTCTCGCTGCTGGGGTTCTGCGCTGTTGGTGTCCGTGCTTCCACGCGCGGTGTCTGGCCCTGTTGGGGGATCACTCACGCAGTGGATGCTCAGTGTAGTGGCCTCGCTGGGCTCAGAAGTCGTGTTCAATCGTGTACGCTTGTTTGGGTGATGGTGTTCGGGAGGAGGCGCTACTAAAGCCGTTGGCGACTCTTGTCGTTTGCGAGTGGTGCTCTGAGCATCCTGTGAAGGCGTGCGAGATGTTGTGATAACAGAACTAGATGCCTCCCTTTGCGACGATGCACTATCTACCTGCCAAGTCGTCCCCCGAGTCGGACGGTCGCATGCTTCTAGCCTGAGGAAGCCGTGCCACTGCCTAGAGACCCATCTATATCGCTCCAACAAGGCCGGCTGGAGGCTGTCCGGGTATGCCCCATCGAGGCCATACGTGGCCGCCCGCTGGAAAGGACGATGGCCGCTCTGCCAGGCGAACGCCGACTCGATCGGGGCATCACGGCCCCTATCGTCATACTGGTTGGACAGAGAATGGATCTGCTTCACATGCCGTTCGGTGATGGCGATGGAAAGCTGACGGTATGTCCGGGTATTGATCGGCTGCCCCGTGAACTGGGTGGTAGCTCTTAACAGCTCCTTGGAGAGCCTGTCGGTTGACCATGGCATGTCTGGGCCCGACGGCGACGCAAACAAGATGGGGGCGCCCGGCGTACCGGGCGCGCAAAGACATGCTCTAGTAAGCATGCTTGTGAAGGGCCTGATGTAGACGAGGTAGAGGTAAAGGAGTCTTCCCACAACGTCCGGGAGGAATCTCGCCACCTGGAATTCATTATTCGTCGTGTGGCGGGTCTTGTGATGCCTCGTGATAAGGAGGAGTGCTCCGGAATATACGTAGACGCCGCGCGGCGTCGACGTCCCGTTTTGGTATTGGACGCTTGCCAGCTCGGAACCCCGCGCAGCCTGTCCGCCGGTGAGGTGAACCAAAGCGAACAGGGCGGATAGCAGCGCCTCGCTGTCGTCAATATAGCGTTGCACCCGGCGCGATAGCCAGCCTTCCGCGGACAAGAGGCCGTCGATGGTGGAGAGGCAGGCCCGCTGCGAGAGGTCCAGGTAGGCCTCCTGAAGGCCGTTTGCCGGCTCCGAGACAAAAGAATAGCCTCGGTATGTGTTCGCCATCCGATCCTTGGTCTTGGACAGATCAAAGACCGGGTGCAAGCCATACATCAGCCGGTCGACAGCCGAGGCCGTGTGCTGAACCATGTCGTGCGCGAGCGACCGGAACTGCTGCAAGGATAGCCGCCCGTCGTCCCAGGAGATTGTCTGGCCGTCGTCGCTCCAGCTGAAGCGGAAGCTGGGCCCGTCGGCGGGGGACACTGTCCGCCCGTACGCGCGGAGGCTCAAGAACTCACCAAGCGGCGCTTGCGACGCTAGGCACATCGTCTCTCGGCGGACCCGGTTGAGTATCTCGAGCTGTCCGTGGCGTGGCCTCGCCGGGTACCCAACGTAGTCGTGGCTGGTCCGGGGGAGCAGGACCTCGATGACGATCAAGCGGGCGCAGTAGATGAACGCTGATAGGTTTGCCGTGTAGTTCCCAGGGCTCTGGAACCCGGACCCGTCGGACGTGAGGCCGAGGACACCGCTAAAGTAGACCAGCAGGGTTGACTTGGACTGGCCATCCTCAAACTCCTCCGTCATGAGGAAGTACAACAGACGCAGCGTAAGGTCTTCGAGAGCAGTAGAGGAGTAATCCCCTCTCAGACCCCGATCTACGAACTTGTATTAGATAAAGAGCAAGAGAAAGAGCACGATAGAACTAACCTGAGAACGATAGAGACTGGGCTGCTACGTCGGTTGATAGCCTATCCTCTGTAGCATAAGTTCTGACAGACGTCTTCTTATGGTCGTGATCTTGCAAACACTCCAACCCTTCACTAGGAAGGTCTTCGTAATCGCTGTCATCACTGGTCTCGGTAGCGCTTCCATCATCAACATCATGGCAGTCACTACTGTTCTTGAGATCTCCACGTGAGCTCTCTACGATTCCACATCTATTGGTACGGCCTGCTGAAAGGTTAGGTGCTTCAGCACATGGTATCCTCCTTGCCCGAGTTCTTGTTCTCATCCGCAAAACACTTTGACTGTCCGCATCTGTTGTATCTTCGTCAGCTGGGGCGGCGTCGAAATCGATATGGCTGACAACGGGGGCGTCATCCCGGCGTAATGTATTCCAGATGCCATCCGACCAGAACGTCTCAAGCGCGTGCGACTGAGCGATGGTGAGTGATCTCTGGCAGTGCGACAGCCGCGTTCCCAGTGGAAGGCGCCATAATCGAATGCAGAAGCACAGAAGTCGTTTTACCGATCGGCGGTATTTATAAGTGGACGAGCGCCGGCCGACCAGCTCGAACGGCGCCTTGTAAGGGCGGTAGGACTCCGAGCTCCGGAGCCAGCAACGCATGGAGACATCGGTGTGGCGTATTGTGTCCTCGCAACGGTCAAAAACGCCATCCACGGCCGACATGATAGACTGCAGTCTAGCCTCATCCTCTCGAGAGCTCGCATGGGGCATATCGTGCTCGGCCTCCCAGCGATCCCGAACAAGAGCCGGCAGCTGCGACATCTTAACGAGCAAGTCGCGGCGGGCACCGTCAAACATGAGATCCCAGCCGGTGCGACGCATCCAGCCTGTCTGGAAAGCCACGTCGACCTGGCCTGTAGCGGCGGTAGTGACACAGGGACTGCTGGCCAGGTAAGTTCGTTCGGCATGATGCGCCGCGGCGAGCAGGGCCTGCTGTTGGGCGGTGGGCGCGGCCTGCGGTGATGGATCGCCAGCACCGAGAGCACCCATATCATTGCCGAGTGGCGGCAACTCCGACGTTCGCGGCTGTGCTATCCAAAAGCCCCGCGTACCATTCTGCGACCAGCTCTGGAGTAGGATACCGCTGTAGATATGGTCACGTTGCCAGCCGTCCGCCTTCCGCGAGTCCTTGATGCCGTGTGTCTTCGAAATATGGCGGCAGATCAGGTCGTCGCTGGCCGTCCGATAGCTACAGTGACGACAAGCATGGCCGCGGGTGACTGTCAGGGATTTGTGCGCCGGCAGGCCATCGGGCCGTGGGGCGACGTCGTTCGGATCGCCCAGGTCGAGAGTCTTCACCAGGGCGCTTAGCCCGCGGCGCTGGGACTTGCATATGTTGTGCTTCTCGGCCAGGTGACGGCTAACCCGCTCCCCGAACGGCTTCAAGGCGTAGCCGCAAGGTCGGCAGATGAGAACCGGTTCAGGCTCGTTCAAGTGCAGTTGCAGGGCTTCTAGGCGCCGGCTTTGCCTATCCGTCAAGCCATGCGGCGTTGTAGGCTGGGACGGAGGGGGAGACGGGAGCGCCATATGGCCGTGTACGACTAGAATATGATTCCTATTCTCAATTCGTTACAAAGATAAAAAACAGCTTGCTCATGGCATAAGCCGCTAAGGAACTTAGTTTCTCTTTCGTATGGTAATAAGCAAGCAGTTAGACAGGAGATAAGAGGGTTTGAAACGCGTCGAGATTCGTTCCGACGGCAAGTACGTAAGTAGGTGGCCACCGTGGCTAGGTAAGTTTTGTATTATACTAATTGATCTTTTAGTTACTACTACGTGTAACGACTGAAAGAACAAGGCGGTTATATTGAAGTATATGATATTAGGTAGGCACCGTGGCCAGCTTTCGGAACGCGGTGAGATTTCATTAAAAGATAGAGATACTGAAGTAGTAAGTAGGGCGTGACTGATGTTATCGGCCAAGCAGGGGCCCCAGGGAACGCGTCGAGATTTCCCGGAAGGGCAGGGGTGGACATGGAGTGGGGCGACGGGGGGTCGGGCCAATGATTGTACACGGACGGCCGTATCTCGACGCGTTCCGACGGCGAATACTTGAGTAGGCTGTCGACGCAAACAATTACTGCCAGGCATTTTCTACCAATTCTACTACAATTGATCGTGTTCACTAGGTTAGGCATAGTCAACTGAGTCTCTCCCGACTTCACGCTGCAACGGTCCTTTGGACTCCGCGTTCTCAAGTCGCTTCGATTTAGCTTCCTATGGGCTAGACCGGTCCAACGGCTAGCATTAGCCGTCTTGAGCGTCTGATAAGGCAGCTAAGAACCAGTCGTGGAAAGTCGTTTCGCTCCATTTCCTAAGCTCCCTCAGCAGTGCTGTGACGCGATAGCAACCCAGAAGAGTATCCGTTCCGGATAGACGGAAAGACTGTAAGATACGCTGATGCGGATTAGCTGTAGATCACTAAGAATAAATACCGAGTGATCCAGACTCACAATCTCATGCTCTGTTTCTGTGGCAAACAGAATCTGCCATGTGCTGCCGGTGACTTGGAGAAGCGGGAGAGTCACGTCGAGACGCTTCAGTCCTATGAGTTCGTGTAGGCGCAGGAAGTGGGCCGAAACCCAGACGCCAAGCTGCGCCCTGGCCATATCCTCGTCGCCACCGGGTTTCTTAGTCTCAATACTGACGGTGATGGGCTGTAGACGGAAAGGGTCGTATTCGGTGTGGTTGATCGACTGAGGAGGAGGCGATTGCTTGTCCTTTCTTGAGCTGCTGGCGTTTGATTTTGACGCGCTGCTAGCACTACTGGCACTGGCGCTACTGGCACTGCTGCCCATGCCATGGACGCGACGCAGCCTTAAGCGGCGTTGGTCTTGAGTGGAAACGGCGTCACGGGCTGCCTGTTCGATCTGCGGGCTGGAGATGGCCATGCAGTAGTCCACCATTTTAGCCTGGAAGTTCAGTCCGTGGGCATGCCTAGGGATGCAGCTCGCGGCAATGCAAGCCTGCGTCGAGTTGAATATACTCACGCGACCCTCAGCCTCGGTATTCTGCCGGTCACGCTCTACGGCAGCAATGAGCAATGGCGCATGGACACGCTCGTTCCAGTGAGCCTCGCCGCGGTCATTTGCCAAGGCTTTGCTCGTCTCCTGCACGACTTGGCCGAGAACCTCAAGTTCAAATTGCAGCTGGAGGCGTGACCGCGATGTAGGCGTCGGGCATATGTTCTTCGCCTCGGTTGGTGGATCGAATGGTGTAATTGCCGAAACCTTGGCGTTGAATTGCTCTTCCACTGCTGACGGCACAATACTAATATCAGATCTGAAGCCTCGGATAGCGTCGAAAAGAGGTCTAATGTCGCTCGGGACCTGTTCAGGTTTGTCGAGTGGCACAACCTTGACGGGCCGTTGCGCAAACCCTAGGTCTGCCATTGCCTTGATGGGGCTTCGTGACCTGGTGCTCGAGACATCGGCAGGGTGAGGGAGCTCCGGGACACCGGCACCGATGGCGAGGGCATACGTAGAAGAGGATGACCGCAGAGGCAAGGATTCAGATATGGATCGCGTGTTGGAGATGGCTGAATCATCGTGGATAGTGTCGACATGGTCGCGCGTGTTGAGCCCTTTTCTACCAACGCGCGCTCTCGGTCGGGGTGTTGGGGAACCGCGGCAGGCTTCGACATCGAGATTAAGATCGTTCTCGTCGCTCGTTACGTTCTCGCTCACATCGCTCGGAGGAGACTTCGCATATGTCTCGATAGCTTCATTGTCTGGCTTCCGCCTCGCTGCCGTTCGTTTGGACCTCCTTTTAGTCGGCGTTGTGTGTTCGGTATCCATGGCAGTGGATGTGTTTCGCCCAACAAGCTCAGCACAGCGCTTGCACTTAGGGCGTCGAGTCTGACGAATTTGGCGTGTTTCATACGCTGTCGAGACTTTTCTAGAGAGTGGCGGGGAAGGTAGGTGGTATTCGGGTTGAGGTTGAAGATTGATCAGTGGCGACGTTATCTCTGATGGCGAAATAGCTGCGACGACGTCTTCAAGCCAGGCGGACACAATGTGGTTCCGGCACCCAAGGTGGATCGTAGAACGGCAAGCTGATGACATGGGCAAGGCGGCTTAGCAAGCAGCGAAGTGATCGCGGAATGATTACCTGGATTAAATCGTGGAATGAAGTTGAGGAGACAATGAACGCAACATGTCAGGTTTGGCTGACGTTGTAGACCGGCGAGCATTGGCGGGGCAACAACAACACGCACATATCATTTCTATTGCTGACATAATCATGTAACCTGTAAAAGCGAGAAGGATGGCCCTATGGGGACTCTGAGATCTTGGGTAGCGTCCTCTAGGCTCGAGGCTAACTGTCAGGCGACAGCTTGGCAGCCAGCAAAAATGTGCATATTGGTCTATTCCTATGTACTAAGCAAGCAAGGTGTTGTTGTTATTCTTCTTCTTGACACATCTTTCTAACCTCAAACAAGAAGCAGAACAAGGCCAAAATGACAAATCGGCGCCTGTGTCCGGATGAAAGGCAGCTGAAACTTGGTTATCCGCATAACTATAATATGCAAGAGCTGCTAGACAAAAGATTTTGATTTTATGCAACACCAATGAGGTCATTAATCAAAAGGTGATTCTTGTGCTTGATTGAGTATTTGCCCATCATCACCGGTTCGTGCATATTATTCAATACAGTTCTAATATCCCTGTAATCAGACACAGTCGTCAATCCAACAGGCTTATCCCCATTCACTATGCCACTGTTGACCATACTGAAGATCTGCTGGATTGACGACTGTGTCTGGGTAAAGGGATGCTAGAAATGCGTTGAATAATATGCAAGAACCGGTGATGATGGGTAAATATAAGACGGAACCCCGCTCGGACCGGGATGGGACGGAATCCCTCAATCAAGCACAACAAGCACTTTTTGATCAATGGACCCCATTGGCATTGCATTAAATCGATATCGTTTATCTAACACTTCCCGCTTTTTCCTTACCGACCTTGAGAGCCGCGCATACCCTGACGCATATCTCTCTATCGCAGCACGGAGTAGCGCGTTAAACGCCAGCGACAGCACATCGGCAGAGTTTGGTAGCACGTGATGAGGCACCTCTGTGAGCTTCAACACTGATGCGCTCCAGCGGCTGCCAGTTACCCCTCGCAACCACTATTAGTCACTATCTTACGACGAGGCGAGGAAACAACTGCCACTTTTCCCATCCCGATGACCACTCAACCTTTACTCCGCTCCACTCCACTTCCATCACTCCGCGTCCTATGCGATGTTGCTTGTCCAGTTCGACACCATAAATGATGGCCCTTCCATCTGGATGCAGTAGATGCGAGGAAAGTATCAAGACCTGGCTTGCCGACGTCGTCGCGAACGACGACCCCGATAACCCCAACGATCTCGCCGCTCCTGTCGCGGCCTCTCAGACTGGTCCTGCTATCCATGCTGGCGTTCACTTCAACACCGACCATCATCGCATCATTTCCGACATCTCCCCCAAACCGATCATCCACAATACCCTCACATGCAATCGCGCATCTCATGGTCGCAAACGTGGCCTCCCTTTGACACCAACTTCGTCCGACAAGATGGCGTCGCCGATAAAAAGGCAGCGAGCGAGCGCTTCTTCGACGTCATCAGATGGATCGGTCATCGACCTACAAGAATTGACGCCTCGCCCTGTCAAGTCTCACCGCTCAGACCCTCGACCCGGCCGCCTCACCCGAGCATCTTCCACCCGAAGCGGCGCCAGCTCGTCGCGTGCCTCGCCCAAGAAGCACCTGGCCTACAGGCAGTACAAGACGGCGCCCATCACGGTTCGTCAGTATTGGCCCAACGAAGAGAGCGTTCCCTGTTCATTGCACGAGATGTGGGGGAAACTGGCGAGGTTCAACAAGGGCGCCAACGTGATATCTATGAGGAAGAAAGTGAGCTTATCCACCGGCGACCCTTTCCCAAAAGACTGATTTTTTGTCCATTGCTGACTGCTTCTGCGAGCCAGGCCGAGATCGACGCTGCCGCGGATTCGTTGCTTAGGAGACAAACAATCGAGAGGTGGTACTACGATGACGCCCCGGCCCGAGACGACATCGGCGAGTCGCCGTCTGTTGCGCAGGTCATGAGCATATTGGAGAATGCCAGGTTTTGTTCCGATGAGGGCTACTGCGAAGCTTCGTGGAACCAAGTCGTGCACGGCGAGGTGTTGCAACTGGCGGTGCCATTGCTAGCTCGAGGGTCTGAGGGGAAAGTGTCATACATACCATGGTGAGTTGTCTTCTGCCAAACACAAGAGGCCTTGTGTGCATCAACTAAGTCAGAACAGTCCGACCGCTAAGATCATCGATTGCTATGTTGACACCAGAGGATCCTCCCGCAAGGTCGACTATTGCATGCTCATCAACCCCGAGGCGCCGTTTGCGAGCGCGATCCAGGAACTCCAGTATCGGGATGATCTGTCCAGTCAATCAATCAATCATACCAGCTACCAGCCCTTGCGCCGTAGACCCATTGGACTGAGCATCGAGACCAAGGGTCATGACGAAGGACTCATTGATGCCAAAACACAACTTCTGATCTGGTTTGAGGCTCAGTGGGAGGTCCTCGAACGGCTTGCCAAGCAGAACGAACCCCCTCAGCCTTTGCCAGAGTTCTTACCCGGCGTAATCGTCGAGGGGCACAAGTGGTATTTCGTAGCCAGCACTCGCAATGGCACCGAAACGGTCTGCACCTCTCTTCGTGTTGGAAGCATATAAGCTTACTTTTGGTAGATACTCTGGATGAAACAAGAGTTGGGCACAACCGAGGAAGCCATCGGTGTCTACTCCGTCGTGTGCGCATTGCAATACCTAGCGCGATGGGTACAGACGGTATACTGGCCCACCTTTCAGCGATATCTCGTTCCGCCACAAACGTCGATTACCACAGGATGAAACGCGCTGGTGGCGTTGATGAAGCATTGCGCGATCCTTGTCCTAGGATGGAAGTTGAAGTACAGTACAGAAGGTCCCATTCACAACGTGGGGGTTTCAAGGCGATGCGTGTTTAACAGTTGCCTCGCACATGTCGGAAGCAGAGTCTGCAAGGAATGGCTGAACAGGGAACGAGGCGTCAAAGTGAATGAGATGTGCCAGTGCATTGAGTTGTATGTCAGCTCTCGTCTGCACTTGACCGCGGTGACAAGGACGCGGCTACGGATCCAACACAATTGGAGATATTGAGATGAATGTAGACTTGGCCATGATCGTTCGGGGATCCTTGCGCAGATGACGAAGTTGATCACGGTTGTCCACGCAGCAAATCGCGCTCGTGCTCATACACGGGCATGATCGGCCAACGTCAACGGACGCAAGTTGGCCACACGCCGCGACAAGCCGCGTCAATGAGCTTGACATGAAAACCATTGCACCAAGACCTTGAGCCGAAACTCACCCGAGTTGAGGGCTCTTGGCCATTTGCATGTCCGCAGCCAAGGACGCTGCATCACACCGCGGGCACCATTGCATAGGATCCCCCGGCGAAGGGGCGGAAGATATCGTATGGGCGACTCTGAGGTCTTGGACGTATATCTTAGAGGGAGCCACTGCTCCTGTAGCTGGCTGAAGATAGGCAAGCGTGCGGACGCAGGGTAGCATACACATAAAACTATTTGAGACCAAGTCCATGCGTGCGATGGTCGTCATCTCGTTCCTAGTATTGAGAGCTGAAGAGGGATGCGAAAGCCTGAGAAGAAGGATACGAAGAATCCAATCTGTGCCTCACGCCATGGTCTCTCTCATGGCCGACTAAGAATCCCTCTGTGACCTCGTCCATTCTTTTGGCCATCTTAACGTATAGGTAGTCAGAGCTCCGCTGTGTGCAGATTATCAGCGGACGCGTTATGGCCATCAGTAGACGGGCAGGCAAGCCGTTCTGCTTCGGATCTATACAGAATAGCCTCCATGGCTTGACAAGGTACGTTTTATTTCGGCATTTAGGCTCAGTCTGGCTACCCTTGCACACCTACTCCATCTCAATACGTGAGGTCTCTTTCAATCTACCTAGCCGGGCGTCCCTATTATCAGGCTTACCCATTTGACCCGTTGAGGGACACTCGATCTTTTGCGTGCACAGCCGCTCCAATAGTTGCCCCCGGTATTCATCTTACTTGACCCCGTTTCTCCGATGTAGGATGGCGGCCTTTGGCAAGCCGGTTGTGTTTCTGTAGTCATCCTGTCAGCTTCTCGAGGCTCTGCTGATGCTTTGAAAAGTTGAACTACAACGAGATAGTGACTGTTTCCCCACATTGCTGAAAAAGAAGAGCATTACGAGTCGTCCGTGAAACATCTTCTAGTGGATACCTTAATCGGCAACAGGGTGATGACAGGTCAGTTGGCGAATGAGGTTTCATTATCTGTTTCGACTCTTCCGATACGAGCTGACTTCTAAGAGATTGAGGTATGAGTAAGGTACCTATGAGGTACCTATGAACTACCTAGTCTTGTGACAGTAAATCCAAGTTTGATGACCGCGAAATCGGCCCGGTGATATTCCCTGTAGTAAGGTAGGTGGTGTTCTACACCGTCCTAGCGGCAGGAGGGCGGATTACAATTCCCAAGCCTTCTGTGCTCTCCTACCATCTCTCATGCGGCCAATGTTCGGGTTTTGTTAGCCCTATAGCCGGGGACTTTCTGGCGTCTTGCGAGGTCGTATGAGGCGGTTCGGTCCGTGGGGACGGGACAGGAGCTCGACTTCCGGCGGACAATTAGACTAACTAAGAAGATGATGCATCAGGATGATCGGATCTATCTTATGGTGGTCAATCTGTCATCGTAACAACAAGACGTTTGCTGTCAATGGAACAACTCACCTTTACAGATTGTCTGAAGCACCCGATGTCTACTCTTTCGACCTGTCACTACTTTCAGGCCCTGAGGCAACTAAACGGGAGCTCAAATCACCAAATAGACTGGGAGATGGCTGTTATTGTAACTGTCGTAAGGTTACAATGGGTGCATCGACGTTAAGTGCAGAGAACGGCGCTCCATGCGGGGCGACATAGGAAAAAAAACCATATACTCGCGATGCCGAAAGAATGCAAAGTGTCTGGAGACATTATGGCTGGCTAGCAACGCCTCGGAAGTGAGAACACTTTTATTAGACAGTATCTAAATGGAGCACTGGAACACCGATATCCAGCTCATATCCACAAATCTCCTTTGGGAGCTCACCATGACCCAGAAGCCGCTTTTCGGTCAGGGGTGTGTGTAAAAGAGAGCTCCTTCTGAATTTTCTCATTAGACCACCCCTGACTCAAGGATTTGCCGTCAGACGGCGTCGAGATACCGCCGTCCGTGTACAGCCAGTGGCCCCCCCACCCTGCCTAACTGGGAAATCTCGACGCGTTCCCTGAGGTCTTAGCTGACCGGTCACTTCAGTTACGCTCCATTCACTGATTCAGTGTCTCCGTCTTCAAATGAAATCTCGACGCGTCCCAGAACCTCATCTCCTGGCTGGCTGCTCATCGCCCCAGAAA